TTTAAGGGGGTCTGAATACTTTCCGTACCCACTGTATATATTGCCCCGTATTAGATTTTTTTGTCTGTATCTTATCAGTCAATATTAGTTAGTTAAGTTGGATATTTAAAAAAGTGTTTTCTCATTTCCCCTATCATCTCTGAATGCTCAAAATCAGTAATGATTTGCTTGTTGGTATTGGTCAGGATTTTAAGATTGGTGCATCTTTATTCTGTTGCGTGGATGAGTAATTTTGAGCTATCTGTGTCAATATTTCAAATGTTCTTGGCTGCATTGAAAGTTTGGTCCAAAATATGGTTCCTTTGAGTGAAAAATCAACCTTTTAAAGCCATTCCAGAGCAACTGCATAGATATTAAGATGTTTGGATATTGATGTTTGGGTTTTTATGTCATAAAGCAGCCTGGCATACCTGAGAACCCTGTCAATACTCCTTCAAAAAGCATCCCAGGATGCAACATCAAGTCTGCCAGCATTAGCATACATTTCACAGCTTCCTATATTGGAAAATCCTCATGCTAGCGCCTCCTCTAATGGCTTTCCCTGGAGTCTTGTAAGACCCCATATGCAGTCGGCTGCTATGTAAGCTGCATCTTTATGGACCATTTCTACACTATACAGTGAAACGCGGAGGCGAAAAGCACTAAAACGCCTCATTCTTCATCCGGCAGTAGTGGATGATCTTCTCTGCTAACAGAGACGTAGCGCTGTGGTTTCTGAATGACAGCTGGCTGTTTAGAATCAAACCCCAGGGGATTGTGATGTAATCTGAGGTAATAGAGCTTCACGGCGGTGAAGTGCGGCAGGGTTATGACTAGCTCAGTGCTTACGTTAAACATGGCAGAATAACAGGACTTCTCTGAGAGGGGGGTTTGTTTGGGTGCAGTGGGAGAGCTTTCTTTGCTCTGTAATTCAGTGTTGTGTGAGGAGGAAGGCTCTCTTTTGCTCTTCTCCAGCCTCTGTTCGGGAATATGGCATCTCCACAGGAACATTTTAGTCTCCAGCAAACAGATTAATCGCCTAACGGAATGCTAAGCTAGTATGTTGGGTAGTATAATTGAACGTGTTGGGTATGAGCTAAGCTAACCGATTA